GCGGGCTGGGATGGGCTCCAGCCCCCCCGTGACCCCGTTCAGGGACTAAGCGGTAGAAAATGAATGAAAAAAAAATTTATGGTTACTGAGTTCAAATTTTAGAGGATTAGAACTTGTTTCAACTTAAAAAATAGGAGTTGTATTATTTATGTCAAACCAAAAAAAATGTGAAATTTTTTTTTTAACACAACCAAATGTTATCTTCATTAAATGCTGCATGTCATGTAAACTTTTTGATTAAAATTTAAAATCTGTGAGAGCTTATTTAAAATGGTCTGCTTTGTACAACTGGCTTGTTTATTTGCTAAGCAAACTCATGAGAAATAACTCTTAAAAATGAGCCTTAGTTGTCTCTTTAACATGTTGAACTTGCTCCATTTGGAGCCACTTTACACCAGCACCAGACATCCAGCCTCTGTGTAGGCATGCACCAGCTGCTGCAGAAAGGGCTTCACTGGGAAACTGAACTGAAACTAACTTATGTGCAAGAGGCCAAACTTTATTTTAAAAACATATATTTATGACAGACCTGTCCAGGGTGTAGCCCGCCCCTCACCCAGTGTCAGCTGGGATTGGCTACAGCCACCCCCGCAACCCTCTTCAGGATAGGCTGTGTAGATATTGTGGATGGATATTAATGACATTAAATTATGTCACAATTCCAACTGCCTATGAACATTAGATGATAATAAATTGGTAGTATAATAGGTGTTTTTACATATACAATATTGTACAGTAACGTAGATTTAATGCAAAAGTTACTCTTAAATCTTTTATTTGACACATAATCAATTATTTTATTTTATGAATAAGCTTACTGAGGGATACAGTATGTGGTTCACTAATGGCAATGGATGCATACTTGTTGAGGCGTCAGAGCAAATCAATAGTTGAGTGTGAAAATGGAGAAGAACAGAAAGGAAACCAGAGGACAAAGGTGAGATCAATTTCCTGATTTGTCTTGTTATCAGTTTAGATCTAGAGTAAGAGGAGAAGAAAATCCCTAACCTAAGACTGCACCCTCTCTCCTTTCCTCTCTGCTCATGTCTTCATCCTGTCTGTCTTCTCTCCTTGTGGAGGATGGCGATCATAACCACCAGAGTCATGTGTTGTGGTCTTTGTGTTCATCAGCTCCGGATGTTTCTTGTGTTACTGTCTTTCAGAAGCGCCTGGAGACAGAGAGAAGCTTTGAGAGCGCCTGGCAGCATTTCCTCCGATAAGTGCAGGCTGACGGTGCTCTGGAGAGGTTGGATTGCTTTTTCCTTTTTTTCTTTTTTTTTATTCCTCTGACAAACTGGTTCTGCCACCTCTGACTGATGCAGTCAATACAGTTAAGTTGAGGTTATATTTACAAAAACATGACTTATTTTCCAATGATGGCAGAAATTTCCATTTAGTTTGGTTTTGAGAAACCAGTGATAATGGCAAAGCGCCCTGTTTACGTGACACACATCATGTTAATACTATCAGCTGCATATGTTTAGGTAGGTTTATTTCAGCTTGTGTTGTTTGTTATACTGCACCTAATCACAGCACTGCAGCCAATAGCTGTGCTGCTGATTCAGTGTTTAAACATTAATGTATGAATAACAACAATAATAATAATCTAATGAGCTATTACATAATTGTGCAACAATCACAGGGGCCATATATTTTCCTGTTAATACTTGCAGTACATGTTTAAATAACAATGTAGGACTATTTCAATGCATAAATTTAACTTAATATGAGGTGTTTTTACATAACTAAAGAATAATGAACTCCCTTTATCACTGGTGTGCAGCAACAGAATGAGCCAGACTAACAACAAGTATATAGTTTCCCACAGAGGTTCACATCGGTCATGTGGCAGCATCTGGCGAACATGCAAACACCTGCACCTATAATTCATTCATACGGAGACAGGCCAACACATCAGCACACACATACAGGTAACTAGAGGGTGTGCATTTGCAGAACGGTCCCTTGGAATGAGGTAGAAAATCAATAGCTGCTGAGCTCAGTCAGTGAGCAGGGGTTGTCAGCTAAGCAAGCATCCGTGAGAGCCTGGCAGATCTGTCCAACTGCTCAACAGCTAATTGTGTCATTAATTATTGACAGTGACAACTGATGGTTATTGACACAGCCGACAACAGCTGCATGCAGCCAAAACTGCAGTGCATTTACACTAACAGGCTGACAATTCAGTGTTTTACACTTAAGATCTGATGTGTTTAATTTGGATATACAGAGAAGGTTTCCTACAGTTTTACAAATCTATTAAAATTAAAAATGAAGGCCCCTGCAGCTAATTACAGAATTCCTTTTCCATCCTCTATGTAATGTTTCATTGCGTTTATTAAATTATTTTATAGCATACACACTGTGCAGGTGCATCAAGAAAATACAGTAAAATGCTTATCATCATATTCATTGTCTGACCCCAAACTGTATGGTGGGTTAGCCTTGCCTTCTCATAATCCTTTTAACATACCCACAACACCCCCATCCACTCTAACATGAAAATCAAATCATCTGGAAGGTTAGAGAGGAATAGGGAAATTACATAATATTAAATATAAATGAAAACAAAGATTGTTACATATTCAAACAAATACCATACTCAGCTCTGAACCTGATCCATCCCTCTGCCGAGTAAAGATATCTAGAATTAAAACAATTATTTATGACTTCATTGTTCAGCAGAGTTCATCTTATTTTTATTTTATTTATATAGGTTGAATACAGTACATAGTCATTTACAGCATTGTCCTGTTTATAATGAAAAGCCATTGGGAAGAAAACGGCAGTTATAAAAAAACAAAACAAAACATACAGCATTAATGAAATCAGTGACAAGCAGGAAGAGAACGATTGTTGAGAATGATCTTGAAATTACAATGAGGTGTGACTGA